AACCTTGTCTATTAATGGAGGAGACCATTTATGAACATTTGTTTTTCCATCGTATTGTGCTTTTTCAATTAGAAATTTATTTGAATTGGTTATTCCTCAAGTTATTAGCAAAGGTGCTAACAAATAGGCTTAAGGTGGTAATGTTACAAATTATTAGTGATACTCAATCGGCTTTGTTGGGGGTCGTTAGTTGGTTGATGGGGTATTAGTCTTGAACGAAGTTGTTGAGGAGGTCAAGAGATGAAAGCACCAAGCTTTTATTTTTAAGGCCGACTTTGAAAAGGCCTATGATTGTGTTGATTGGTCTTTTCTGGATTGGATGATGAACAGGTTTGGTTTTGGAGTGCGATGGAGAGGATGGATAAAAGAGTGTCTTTCAACAGCCAGAATCTCAGTGTTAGTGAATGGAAGCCCAACCGAGGAGTTTATGATGGGAAAAGGATTAAGGCAAGGGGATCCTTTATCCTCTTTTTTGTTTCTGATGATTGCCGAGGGGTTACATGGTCTAGTCAAAAAAGCTGAGACAGAGGGCCTGATACATGGAATCGATGTGGGTAACAAGGGATTGACTATTTCATTGCTCCAATTTGCAGATGATACGGTGATTTTGGGAAAAGCAAATGGAGAGAATATTTTTATTGTGAAAACCATTTTACGGTGGTTTGAGTTGATGTCTGGATTGCGAATTAACTTTCGTAAAAGTAGTATTGTCAGGTTTAATGTGGCACAAACGTGGTTAAATGGAGCAACATCTGTTTTGAGATGCGGTGTTGGGGAGATACCTTTTGTGTATTTGGGAATGCCAGTGGGTGGAAATCCTGGGACTAAGAAGTTGTGGGACCCAGTGTTGAATAAATTTCGAACCAAACTTGCCATCTGGAAATCTGCCTTGTTGTCCTTTGGCGGTCGCATTACTCTGCTTAATTCGGTACTCTCCTCTTTACCTATTTTTTACATGTCTTTATTTTTAGCACCTAATTGTGTGGTGTCTGAGTTGATTAGAATACAGAGGGATTTTCTGTGGGGTGGGGCTAAATTAAAGAGGAAGATTCCTTGGGTTAGCTGGGAGATGGTATGTCGTAGTAAGGAGAAGGGTGGGTTAGGAGTCATGGATTTGAGGAGGAGGAATTGGGCACTTTTAGGGAAGTGGTGGTTTAGGTTGGGTGATGGTAGTGAGAGCCTATGGAAACGGGTCATGTGGGATAAATATTATGGGGGTCGAAGGGAGATGGACATTAGGGCAGTGGATAGTGTGAGGATGTCTAGGATTTGGAGCGATGTTATTAGTGTCGGGGGGAAGTCTATCAAATTACAAGACATGTTAGAGAAGGGGTTTAGGTGGACGGTGGGTGGTGGGTGGTGGAAGGCAAGTAGGTTTTTGGCGCGAGATTTGGGTGGGGGATAAATCTCTAAAGGAGTTATGCCCTAGGTTATTTGAGCTAGCTATGAATAATGAAGGTATGGTTTGTGAAATGGGGGTGTGGGAAAGGGGTGTCTGGAGATAGAATGTGGATTGGAGAAGAGGGAGGTTGGGTTGAGAGAGGGGGGAGGAAGCAGTGCTGTGGGAGGTGCTAAGCAGAGTACAAATCACGAAAGGACACGAAGATTGCTGGAAGTGGATGCATGATGCAGAAGGGAGATACACAGTGAAGAAGGCTTATGAGTTTCTGTCACCAATGGAGTCCATTCTTCTTGATCAAATTTGTAAGTTGATTTGGTGTAAATTAGTACCCTCAAAAGTTAGTTTCTTTGGGTGGAGATTATGTTTGGACAGACTCCCAACAAAAAGAAATTTAGAAAAAAGAGGGATTAATTTGTCGGTAGAAGATCTAAGGTGTGGTTTGTGCAAAAAGGAGGAAGAGGAGTGTAATCATTTATTTTGTTCATGTGATGAAGCCTGGTTACTTGGGGGTCAGGTGATGTCTTGGTGGGGTCTGCAGGTTGTGATGCCCAATACAGTGGGAGGGGTGATGGAGGTTTTCTTGTATGAGTTGGGGGGTAGGGTAGGGAGAGAGCTAGGGGCGTGTCTTTTCCTTGTGGGGTCTTGGTATATTTGGTATTGGAGGAACAATAGAGTTTTCCAAAATAAAGGGGAGTGTAGGGACGGGTTGCTACATATGATTCAGTCCAAAACATTTCTATGGATTAAAAATAAGGTGGCTGGAAGTGTATTCTCAATAGTTGATTGGAAACTTAATCCACGGGAATGTGCTGCTGCCATAAGGAAGCATAGAAGCTTGCTGAGAGCGTTCCATAAGCACAAAAACGGAAGGCATGATGAGAGGGATTGGAATGTGTTGGCTTACATGTTTCGTGGGAATACTTTGTTTTAGTTAGATTATTTTCATTGCTTGTAGTTGGATTGGAATACTTCTTGTACTTTATATAATCAAAATCTTTTTTATTTTGCTGATAAAAAAAAACTTTTACATATTTAAATTTAATTGATTGAAAGATTAATTTTCATCAACGTATTACAAATATATACTCCATCCCCAAATTCTCAATATAAAAAAAATTAGAAATTTATTTGCGTCAGA